GAGTTGGGGCAAGAAGGAGTAGCGTACAAGGAAGAGACCGAGGGCGGGGGGGGGGGAAGGTTTGGCTTAGGTCACGTAAAAACTAGAACAAGAAGAACCAGGCAACAAAAGAAAAGCGTCCTTTTTTGTTGCACGGATTTGAGTTATTTTCTAGTTTTTAATTCCCAAAACCCCAAGGGCAGCATCCTGCAATCATTGGGGACGGGAAATACGAGAAAGTGTTGTGCATGTTTCTGTCACTGGAAACAGCATCCTGTATCCAGAGGCAGAAAAGAGGCTCCCAACATAGCGGTTATGATTCCAGGGCGAGTGAAATGAGCGGGAAACTTTGCAGCATGGTGCGCAACCAGCCAGTAGATGGAGCCAAAGTACAAGGAAAGGAGGTAGTGGGCCAGCAGGCTGAGACCAAATGGGAATGGAGAAGGCAGTGAGCCAGATGGAACTTAGAGTAGCCAGTAAATGGGGGCACAAAACATAAAAAGAGAGAGAGGGAGAGAGAGAAAGTGAAAAGGAAGGCAAGATGTCAGGGGAAGGCAAGAGATGGCAGGAGTGAGGAAAGGGAAGGGAAGGGAGCTAAGGTAGGGAAAAGGTTTTGAGTGCAACAGGGAGGCAGGTCCGACTCCCAGGTGGGCGTGGGCAGGCACAGTGATTGCACTGGACAGTTCAACAGCTGTGGAAACCAGTGGCCTTGAGTGAGGTCCAGGAGTGACCGAATTCGACTGGAAAGGAGATGAAAAGAAAATGGAGGAGAGCCAGAGAGAAGTAAAGGGAAAGGAGAGAGAGAGAAAAGGAGCAGAGAGAGAAAGGAAGGGTGGGAGTGTACCTTAAAACCAAATCAGTGGTGTTTGTTTCCAGTAACAGCAAGCGAGTCCAGATGTTTTACATGCGAGGTAGAGTTGATCAGGAAAAAGCACCAAGACACAGATAAAACTCTCAGTGGGATCGAGTTTTATTTCACACAGGACATGTTCCCTTCAGGGAAGGGAAAATGTCAGCCCATGGATTGTGAGCTGGGGCTTATATAAGGGGCCTTCAGGGTGCAGAAGGCGTGAAGTTCTTTGGGAAAAATTAG